CATTTCTGATGAAGGGTCTAGGCCCGAAACGTCAGCCTTCCTGCTCCTATGATGCTGCTTGGCCAGCTGTGTTCATCCAGCTGTACACCTTGTTATCTCACATTACCCAGTGAGTCCTGGAGCTGAGAATACTGACCTCCAATGACTGCTCCCACGTTTTCAAAGTTATCATTTTATCTTCTTCCTTCACTGCTTCAGGCTGTGCATTGCAGAAAATATCAAAGAAGCTATTCTTGAAATAATTATTAAGGCAAACAGTATTGCTCATTTAATACTGACAGCCAGCCTATTCAGTAGTCGGTGTATTATATTCCCTCACCTGCATCCCCATTTTCAATTTAGCAATTGAGAGCAGGGTTCCCTTACCTTGTTCAATTTATTAGTTCAAATTATGCCATCCTTTCCGCTCAGGTCAGCTAATTCTATCGAAACTAACCATCCAATTTTGAATCTACCCACGCCGCACCCCCACCCCACCCCCATTCCTCCTGCATAGCACTAAACTAAGTAGTGCATTTATATATCCGGCTACCAGGGGAGCTATTTTAGTCTTTTAACTGTGGCTCAAGTTACTTTCCAAAGTAGCTTATAGACAAAATGATGAATAGGAGTATGACTTTATTGCTTCACTAAACCTTTACTAGTCTTGCCTGTGTGTGGAGTGTCTATTGGTGAATTACTAAAAGAAAAACAACAACAAAAGAAAAAATTATCCATTACAGTTCCCAAACTGATCATACAATACCAATGTTAATGGTCTGCATTATTTGGCGTTAATTTGCCAAGGTACTGGATCATCTGCAACAGCCAGAAGCTATTTTGCATGGAGTTAAAATTTCTATACCTCTGAAAAGCAGCTCAAATATTTCCCATTGCTTATACCACAGGAAATAAATTCTTTTGTCAGTGTAAGCCAGAGGACAAATTAAACATTAAAAAGACCATAGGGGATTGAATCTAAGTGTGGTTTGTAGAGATGAATACAAATCACCGTTAACATTTCCCCTAGCACTTTGCTAGAATATTGGGTGTAGGTGCCTTGATTTTGTCACTTTTGGCACCTTGTCACAAGTAGCTTAAACCCTCTGTCTTCCCAGCACTCAGTAAGAGGTTACGACCATATTGGCTAAGTAACACCTGGGATTTTGAATGTCATTACAACATATCCCCAGCCTGTTGAAATGAACAAGTAACAGTGGATTTAGCTGACAGAAGGCTAACTTTAATGAATCTTGCAATGATAAAGAAAACAGGATTTTAATTCCTGTCTGCGTTCTCCCTGATGTTGAGGTGTGTTTGCAATCTACTGGACGGAGGAGGAAAGACCAGATGTTGTAATGTTCACAAAACAGGCTGTCTCCTAATCTTGAGCTAGAAACATGCAATAAATTGCAAACATGCAATACCCTGAAGCCTCCAAAAATGTCCTGTTCTAAAGTGCTGACATTGATCAGTCAATTAGAATTCAAATAAATGCACCAAATACAACTAGGCATAAAATAAAGCCTGATGTCATGTGGAATGTTTTTTTTAAAAGTGCTTATTGAAGTATTTCAGTGAGGAATGGCAGAGAAAAACAAGGTCTGATGCCTCTCCTGGAGTCAATTCATTACAGTCTTCAAGCACTTAAATTTTAAGGAACTCACAAGATTTTTCAAATTTGTACTTTTTAACATTGGTTTGTTAATGCAATTAGTCATTGTCAGAATTGTAACTTAGGACCGCTGCCTCTTCAACGTACTGAAGGCTGTTTACCTGCCTTCTCTGTGATTTAGCAAGATGAGATCATATAAATTGATAACCATCTCTCTGTTTTCTTCTGATTCATCTCTGACCTGAACTCTGCTTGAACCTAGTTAGACACAAAACATCCAGGATTCTTGGCTGAAGCCATAAAATTTAATTAAATCCTACAGAAATGATGTGTAAAAGAACACCACAGTACCCCAATAAAGTGAAAATAAGTACTGTGATGGATTAAAATAATAAATGTGCCTGCTTCTCTGTGTTTGATGTGAAGGCAACAAATATGGGCTCCCAGCAGTCAATATATATGATGTTAACAGGAAAGGTTGTAAGTCACATGCACAAGAATCTCATCTGCTTAAGATCACTGTGCACATTTACTGCTGGTTATATGATGTTGACTGTAGATTCAACAAAGCTGCACACAGCTGCATCAGACCTGAACAAATACCAGCCATGGCTCAGATGGTTGCACTTTTGCCCATGAATCAGAACGTTGTGCATTCAAGTCCCACTTCAGGACTCCAGCACAAGAATTAAGGCTGACTCTCCTGATGCAGTGCTGAGGGGTGGGAGCCATGTAGAGACTCTCTCTTTTGGAAGAAACCTTAAATACAGGCCCTGATAGCCAGCTTAGGTGAAAAAGGTTAAAGATCCCATGGCTACGGCACTATTACAAGTCAGAAATACTTAATTGGTTGCAGAGTGCTTTGGAAACACCCTGGGGTGCCAAGGTGTCAGACAAGTGCATAAATGTTTTTTCTTGTTTGAGCAGGGTTTTGCTGTGTGGCCTGCAGTTTGAAATTGCAAGTGATCTCCTAACTCAGTGATGCAGTACATTACTCATCTTCCCAGAAGAGTGTTTGGGGACAGATGGAACGACAAAATATATGTCAGCATGGAACAGATTGGTTCCATTGTTTACTTTGGACTGAATATAATGTATTTTAGGTTGTTCGTTAAGTATTCACATGTTCCAACATTAGAGGTGAAGGAATAACTTTAAATGGCACTCCAGAACAAATTTGGTTGCTGCAGTTAGCATCTGTAAGTGTTCAGTTTAAAATACATGCCTCTCCCTTTGAGCAATGTTTGAGGAAGCAATTGAATTATTTATTCTTGAACCTGAACTAAAATACAGTTTTGGAAACATTCAAGTGTGTAGAATATCCAGTTGAACACAAGAGAACATGTTATATTTCCTTTACAAGGTTGATCAGTCAGTCACAAAAATATATTAGACCCCATAAATTATTGCGGAAAGTTCAGTTGCTTCAATGATTTGCTCATAATTCCACAATGTTGCTTAGGAGCTGGCATCCTGTATTAATTATGTACAGATGTAAAGATCAGAGAACTGATGCAGAAGAACGTAGAAAGAAAGAAAGCAAAGATAAATGTTTCTTTTAGCCTTGCACTATTTAATTTATTGTGCAGTTGTCCAAAAGAGGATAAATTTGACATCCTTTTCTTCCTCTGTTTAGGAATGATTTTGGGTGCCACATTTGCACTCCAACTGAAGGATTTGCTTGTAAAGACCTGCCTGAAAGACAGAACCAGAGCACTAATTGGCCCATTCTGCTGTACCCTGCAACTGGACGCTAAGTGGTGCAGGCACAGTGGCGACCCTGACCCACATCACTCTGTTCCAAAAATGCTGGTCGACTTGAAAGCTGGACTGATCCAGGTTTGTGTGGGTGGCAGTGGTGTCTGGGAGAGTCTGTCTTTAATGAGTCTGTTCCTTGTTTGACCCAAATGTCTTTTATTTCCAGCCCTCTAAATCATGCAAAGAGCACCCTTGTAACATGATCAGGTTATCTGGTAAAGCTCAACACTGTTGTATTTGAAGTACTTGATTTTTTTGTATGAGTAATAAACTTTTAAAAAGATCAGAGCAGAACAAACAAAACTGCAGAGCAATAGGATGAAACGGCCAATACCATAAATACTGTAAAGGCACTTAAATAATTAGAAATGCATACAAAGCATTTTGTTTTCATGGCAGTAGAGATGTCGAACAACTTTTTTTTAAGAGGATTGGTGAGACGTGAGCAGTTGATCATAGGAGCACATGCAGACTGGCAGTTGTTCGCTTGGTGCTCAGTCCTACTTTATATATGACCTTTGCCATCTTCTATTGACAAGTGATCATTGTGACTGGATTGAGTTGAACTGATACATAAATCAACCCTGCCTTTTAGCCCTTTTATTGACTGCAGGAGGAATTCTGCATCTGTACTTTACTAATTCACAAAAGGCTGCAAGAAGATGTCGGGTTGGTTCTGCAGACTTCTCTGAATGCAATTGTTATTAACTGTTGAAGCCCCTTTAAAACCCTTCCATAATAAATAAGTAGTTTGCAAAATATCCCACGGAAGATTTTTTTGTAAAAACGACACAGTTTTAAATTGTTTGAAGTTGAAATTAATCCTGGAAGCTAACTAAGTTTTCTCAAAACTTCGTGCTCAGGAAGCAAGCGTTTATATAATGCGCATACGTACAGATGTAGTGTCCTGGACTCCAAAAGTTGACTGGTAGTGTCGCTTGTTTTCTGAAGCCACAGTGAAGCTGATTCTACTTATAATAAGTCATAGAATCCCTACAGAATACAAGCAGGCCATTTGGCCCATTGAATTCATATGAACCTTCTGAAGAGCATACCATCTGCCCCGCCAATCCCTGTAAGCCTGCATTTCACGTGGCCAACCCACATAAGAAGAATGTGTAAACTCCATACAGTCGCCCGAGACTGCAATTAAACACAGGTCCCTGGCACTGTGAGGTAGCAGTACTAATCACTGAGTAGCCGTGCCACCCTAATTAGTCTTGGTATTATAGGAAGCAGTCATTATAATTTACAATATTATATATAATATATTTTTTATGTATACAATGTGTATATAATATATACAGGGGAGGCGATGGCCTAGTGGTGTTATCACTGGACTGTTAATCCAGAGACCCAGATAATGTTCTGGGGACCTGGGTTTGAATCCTGCCACAGCAGATGGTGGAATTTGAATTCAATACATATCTGGAATTAAGAATCTAATGATGACTGTGAATCCATTGTCAATTGTCGAGAAAAACCCATCTGGTTCACTAATGTCCTTTAGGGAAGAAAACTGCCATCCTTGTCTGGTCTGGCCGACATGTAACTCCAGACTCACAGCAATGTGGTTGACTCTTAACTGTTCTCTGGGCAATTAGGGATGGACAGTAAATGCTGCCTGGCCAGCGACGCCCTCATCCCGTAAACGAATAAAGAAAAAAATACTGTTTATCATCATTCTACTGATACTGCAATGCAGACAATTATTGTCCAAATATATATTTTGTTTCGGAGTATATGCAGATTGTGTCCATCTCGGGCAAGTTGATGTGTTGCATTAGGCAAGTAAATACTTTCACAAATTTACAAGGTTTTTTTTGCAAATTTATATAATTTAGTGCAAACACCAGTTGTTACTGTTCCCTTCTGGGTGCTTTCCCTGTTTAGAAAACCACTGGGAAAAAATCCAGTTCTATCTTAAAAAAATCCGAAGCTCCAATTTAACAAATGACCCGATTATAAACCGGGACAGTGCATCAGTACCCAAAAGAAACAAAATGCCTACAAAAATCAAAAGGGGAAGATCAAGGGGCGGGGCAGGGGTTGCTAAATCAACACAGAAATTGGACGCGTTGAAGTTTCCAGGCCTAAATCTGTAGTATGAGATTTTGAAAATCCAGCAAAAGAGTTGCTGCAATTCTGCACTGGATGTACTAATCTGATGCAAGGCCAGCAGCAGGAATCCCCAGTGTAATGCATAAAAGGTCATTTTCAGCCTCTCACTCCATTTCCCTGGGAGATCTGCGACCTATGGCCTATAGAGTACCTCCAGCATTTTCAGAGCCAAAGTGATCAGGCTGTGAATGCTGTTACATAAAATCATCAACATCTCATTAACTAAGAAATACACAGCCAGACAAGAAATGGTTTAGGTACATCTTCGGATTTTTAATGTGTTTGTTCCTTTGCAGCTTATCAGTGCTGGTGCTTCTCTTTTTGGTGTCTGTTTAGATATTCTGGGGCCAAGAGCATCTGAACTGTCTGAATCTACTACATGAACTTCTCCAAGGATATCTTGGGCAAGATGCCAAGTCTCAGACATCAGACCACACACAGCAATCATCATCTGCCATAGGCAGATATCAAGCTTTCAAGACTGAACACAGTTCTGATGACTTGAGGACAGGGCAGTTTCAGTACATTCAAGATGCAGGTGCGTGGGATGACTAATCTTTTATTCAGCTCACTTTGCCACCTCAGCAAAAATGGTGTCCCTGCTTTGATGCTCACAGATTCAAATATGCACTGGAGTTGCATTAGTTACCTCTTGACTACTCTGATCTATCATTCAGTTAGATCATTGATTATATGTATTCCACGTCTATCTAACTACTTTGGTTCCCTAACTCTTAATAAATTTGTCTAACAGAAACCTTACAGATTTCAGTTTTGAATTAAATCATCCTGTTTGAGGGATAGAGTTCCAGATTTCTAACAAGCTCTTTGTGAAGAGGTGCTTCCTGTTATCGCCTGTAAATGGTGTAATTTTAATGTTCTCTTCCCATGTTCAGAATTTCCTCATGGGAGAATATTGCTTTTCTCTCCATATCACTATCTCTCTATCCCACTCTCCCGAAATGGATCAAATTCTGTGCTCATGTTAATCAACTCCATTTGATCATCCCAGAACTCCTGAATTTTTTTTATCAATCGGATTCATATTTGTGAGCACTGAACAAATTGCCTTGGGTACTGTATTTAGTATGTGTATTGCATTTTTAAGAAAAGCATCACACAGAAAAGCATCCAAAACGCTGTCAGAGATATGATCAGAAAATAAATGAGATACTGTGCAGGGGCTAGATATGAGGAGAAGTGACCCAAAGCTCGATTGGAGGTGGATTTTAAGGAGTGTTTGATTCCCTTTCCTTATTTAAAAGAGTGATGGGATTTGGGAAGAGAATTCTTGAGCCTCGGTAGTTTCAGGAAAATCTATCAGTAGTATGACAAAAAGGGTCAGGTTGCGGGTGGTGGAGGGAAAATGTGGGAAAGGCCTGAGTCAGAGAAACTGAATGATGGAGGGGATTTGGAGAAATAAGAACAAGAATTTTAAGTTGGTGATTTGGAAGGGTTGTTGAAGGAACCAGAATAAAATGTAAGCCACCTAGGATACAGTTGATGTTGAGTAGAAAGTGTTCCACAAAGGGAGGCAGTGGTGTGATGGCAAGATCACTGTATCAGCAATCCAGAATCTGGGCTCATGTTCTGGGGAAGGTGATGGTAAAATTTAAATTCAGTGTATACCTGGAACAAACAACAAAGTTCATCCAAAAAGTGGATGTCAGTAAAGCATTGGTTGGCACAGCAGAAGCATTGATGGGTTCAAGAGGTGTGGTGCATGGCAGAAATGGATGACACTAGTGTCAGTGCAGAGACCGATCCTAGGCTCCATGCTGTGATTGCAGTTAATGTCACCAGTGGCAGCATGGGAATGATGAAGAGGAGGTAGCCAAGGGTAGATTCCAGGAATGTAAAACAGGTGACAGACTTAAGTCAGCAAGGAAAACCGTTGCTGGGAAAATTATGGCTGCAAGCAAATCAGTAAGAACAGAATGAAGCAAAAGTATTTCAATTGAGCAGAATATTTAAAAAGCGGATTTGGAGGTGTGTGACATAATCAGCCAAGACCAAGAAAGATGAAGAAGGCTTATGCTCAGTGGACACAGCGACAGAGAATTTCTTTAGGTCATCTTACTGATTGATAGGGCCAGAAACAGGATTGGAGTGATTTAAGCATGGAACTGTACAAAAGGTGAAGGTGCAGTTGGGAAACAGCAACACATTCTTGAAGGCCGAGTGAGGTTGGCGATTGGACTGTAGTTTGTAAGACCAGAAGAATTTTCCAGGAGGAATTGATGTCTTAATGACGGCAATTCTAAAATGATGGAAAGCACTACCCAAGAAGAGGGCAGATAGAAGAAAAGGTAAAGAAAGACATGGTTTCAGGTTGAGGGAAGTGGCTGGTTTGGTCCACGGGCAACTGGAAGGGAAAGGGGAGAAGGAGAGCATTGGAATAGTGTCAAAGAAGTCAGCACGGGTAGGAGTGATTGATGAACAGAGCCATATGTGTGGATTAGTGTAGTATTGGTATAGAGTGCAGAGTGTTGGGTTGGCTGAATTTTTGAGGAGATAGGGGATGCAGTGATTGCGAGGAGTGCATTGAGATAGTGAAGTTTAGAGATGACATTGGCATGGATGGACTAAGATTAGTGTAACAATCATAGCAGGAGGCAACCTCTTCCATTGAAACAATATGACGTTCATAGGTCAGCTCAAAGCCAATTTCAACATGGGGCGGAATCCTCCTAGACCCTTGGAGGTGGATTTGGAAGGAAGTTGCCAGGAAAGTATCAGAAAACCCCACTGGATTACTTTCCAAGAGCATAGCCCAAGGGTGAGCTGCCAATCGATGCAATTAAGAGCCCAGTCAAGGACTATTATCCTATGGTGACAGAGCTTTCCTGGTATCATGTGGGACCCTGACCATGTTTGGAATTCAACAACTAGTCAGAGATGGCCTAATGATGGCAGGCCAGAGGGACATTGGAGCCTCACATTAAGTTGGCCACGATAAAGCCACAAGGTTGAAACAGTCACAGCCATTCTCATGGAGGGTTTCTTGGTGTCTCTGAGATGTCGTCTTTTAAAATATGTCATCCATATGTTGTCCTGAGGTACCCTCACCTACCTGCCCACCTCTTCCCGTTTTGGTTGCAGGCTTTCGTTGTTGCAGGTCTTTTCACTGGGTCTCCCGCAAAGAAGACCTATTAACTGGCCATCTTCGAGCAGATTGCATTAGAATTGGCCTAGACTCTCAATAAATTTTCTATCTCCAGAATATTGAAGGGAGACTGGTTCAGCCTGAGACAATGGTCAGGAAGGAAGATAGAATCAGAAGCTAGAATAGACAGCTTTTACATATGTAGCAGGGAAAGGGTCATGGATCAAGCTCTGGGAATGAAGCAAAATCAAGAGAGTGAAGAGAGTGGGTTTTATACAAAAGAGGTTGTCAGTCATTTTTAAGTTGCTTCGGATATGCATCCTGGTAACATTTTTGTTCAAAATTGTTTGATTACATTGACTATTATTTTGAGGTGAGTCATAACTGAGTACAGAGCAGTAGTATTGTTGAGTGACCTTGATAAAATTTTTGTTGAGGATTTGTGATTTACTGTCTTTGCCAGTGAATTCATGTCAAAGAATGGACAATTTTCTTAAAGTTTGATTTTTCTTTTTAACTTTTTACAAATGGTATGGGGCATCTGAACTAATCAGCAGATTGTAATATTCAATTTGTTTGTTTTTAGTGAATTTTGCCAACACTTGTGTTTCAGCCCCGTGACATTTGCCAGATGTACAACTTTTAATTGTAGGTTATTTCTATCATTTTTTCCAAGTAAACGACATATATCAAGAATTGTGAGGCTGTCAAGGGTCAAGGTAAAGTTACAGCTTGGCAAAAATCATGCAGTATAAAATCCAGTGTCTCATCATATCTTCTTTTTAAACCTTATAAAACAGTCTCCTGTATAAAATGATACAAAAATATGCATATAGTTGAGACTTAGAGTGATAGAGTTATACCGCACAGAAACAGGCCCATGTCTACTAGATTTCCTAAACTGAACAAGTCCCATTTGCTCGCATTTGGCCTGTTTCCCTCTTAAACCTTTCCTATCCATGTATCTGTCCAAATGCCTTTTAAATGTTGTAATTGTAACTGCCTCGGCCACTTCCTCTGGCGGTTCATTCCATTCACGCGCCACCCTCTGTGTGAAAAAGTTGCCCCTCAGGTCCCTTTTAAATCTTTCCCCTGTCACCTTAAACCTATGCCCTCCAGTTTTGGACTCCCTTACTCTGGGAAAAGACTTTGGCTATTTACCTTCTCTATCTGCCCCTCATGATTCTATGAGCCTTTGTAAAGTTATCCCTCGGCCCTCAGGAGAGAAAAGTCCCAGCATATCCAGCCTCTTCTTATAACTCAAACCTTCCAGTCTTGGTAACATCCTTGTAAATAATTTCTGTAAATAATCCTTCCTATAGCAGGGCAATCAGAATTGTACACGGTATTCCAAATGTGGCCTTACTAATGTCTTGTACAGCTGTAGCATGATGCCCTAACTTCTGTACTCAATGCTCTGACCAACAAAGACAAGCGTGCCAAACATCATCTTCACCACCTGACATACCATGGTTGCTAGCATTTGAATATAACATTATACGTTTTTGCTTTTGTTTAATAAGTATAAAGTACGATGCATTTTATAGACATTAGCCTTGGCTAAGTGGTTAATGATTCCCACTTGAAGCAAAGGTTGTGGGTTCACTCCATTCGAGTACATTGTTCTTCTTGACACTCCATTGCAGTACATTGGAAGCGCTGCACTGTCAGTGATGTTAACCTTAAGGTGGAGATGTTAAACCGAGAATCCATTTGCTCTGGCACATAGCTGTAAAAAACAATCACTTTGCACTTTTCTCAGAAAGAGTGGAACTTCTCCCCAGTGTCTTGGAGATTACTCATACCTCAGTCAATATCGATCAGAAATTATCTGATCGTTAGCATATTGCTGTTTGAGCAAGCTTTATGGGTGCAAACTGACTGCTGTATTTACTACATTACAACAGCAAAACACTTCAAAATTACTTCATTGGCTGTAAAATGCTTTTGGACATCCGGAGATTATAAAAGCTGCTGTAGAACAACACGTCTATCTTTTTCTTACGGAGGAATCAGTACTGAGGAAACTATTGTACCTTGTCTTGAGGCCCAGAAGAAAATAACAAGAATGCCCTTTCTCTGCAAACCCCAAATCATTTCATCACTTGAATTATACTGCAAAGAGCTATCAGATTCCAGTTCTTAAGCCATAACAATAAATTATACACATTTTTGTTTGTTTAGTCACACAATACAATTTGACTACTTGCCATTCTACAGTGAAAATAACCATTTTCCCTTGACAGATCACTACAAGTAATAAAATTGCTATACCTCATTTACGACTGATCTGGTCCTCAAAATCAAATAATTAAATCAAGTTGTTGGCACAAATAGGCCACTCGATGTAGTAACCACCTTGTATAATAATCCCCTTATTGTGTGTCCCACATCTGTCACTCAATCAAGACCCAAGAAAAGTTTAGAATTCT